AACCACGCCCACCACGCACGCCCCCAGCACGTTCTTTCAAACACATTCGTCGGAAATCCCCCCAACGCGTGCCAGTACCACATCAGTTGCCTCAGGGATTGATAGCTGTGCTCTCGGAGTACGTGTCGTGCGGTAAGGTGGATGTGTGCGTGTGCGCGCATGAAGTTTGTTTTTCTGAAACGCGGAAAAAAAACGCACCAAGTGGAAAAAAAAAAACAGACGAGCTGGACTGCAGAAATTCGTACGGAAAGGCGCGGCGGAACCTCGAAACACGTTTTTTTCGTGCGTTTTTCCCGAGGTGGAATCCGTCTATTAAATAAATAACATTCAAAAGAACTCGCTGGTGAACGGTTCTACAGCACCTCTGGGCAAACGCACAAGCCAGGGGAATGAGGACAAATGTCGGCCGGTCGTTCGCACCTAAGTACAAGATACCTAGTAGCGGTGCAGAACTACAGCATGGCGCCGGGCACACCAGCGAAGAGATGCGACCTAAAAATCTTCAAGGCGAACAGGCAAAGCTCTTCGTGGAAAAGTCCACTCATGCATCTTGTACCGCGCACGGTGTACCAGGCGAAGTGCGTGCACGATTCGCAGACTGCAAGCGCTACTCCGCATGGCGCACCTGGTTGAACATCTGCAGCTGGTTGACCCCATCGTTGCCTACGAGGGCCTCGCCGACAAAAAGCACTAATTCCGGCTCGTTCTCGTTGATGAGCTTGCTCAGCGCTCGCATTAAAGGCTCGTTGTTCTGTCAACATCACCACGAACAAAAGAGGCACAAGCAGCATGCCTGCAAAATCATATTTTGGTCCTATATCGTCCACGTACCGCCGCCGGATTGGTGAACAAGACAAATTCGTTTCTCACGCATGGGTGCGGTTAACAGCACGTGTATCACAGAGAGAACAAAATAACAGCATTGCAACATCCAGGAAACTTCAATGAAAAACGTGGTAAAAAAAGTGAAGGAGGCTCTTCAAATATCTAATCGTGCCCCACGCCCAACCTCGCCCACGGCTTCCACGCCAAGACGAGTTGCAATACTGTGGAGAAGACGCTTCACGCAGCTAGCACAAGATTCGGCTCGCACCTGCATTCTGCCCGCTGTGTCGATCAAGACACAGTCGTAACCCTCTTCTGCCGCGTGCTTGACAGCCTCCCGCGCCACCGCGGAAGAGTCTCTTGCGTATCCTGTGCAAGTCAAGTCATGCAGTGTCGCCCATTGTCACGTACGGCCAACGCAGCCTTTGGAGCGGTTGCTCGAACTCTCCAAAGACAAGTAAGTACTCTTACGTGATTTGACGTTGATAAAAAGTGGCAGAGCACCGTGTAAAACAGCAATCACACAAAAAGCTCAAACAGCAGATAGCTGCTTGCTGTCTTCATGGTGGTGGCTCATCGAAGGTATGCGTGGCATTTCACTCCTTACTTGCCGCCGCGTCGATCACAGCATGAAAATCAATGCGAAAGTATCACTGAGAAATAGCTAACCTTTCTCGAACAGAGGGACATCGAGACAGCGGCAGTGCACTCGAAGTTGCTCCACCGCCCCTGACCTAAATGTGTCGCATGCGGCAATGAGAACCTGGTGGAAACGACAGGTGAGAATCGATGTGTGTCTGCGAAAAGAAAGAAGGACGGTTGATTTGCAGGTGAGGCAAGTTCATCGTTGACAAGCTAATGCTGCTGTACGCTGCATGTGTGTTGCTGTCTCTGTGGATACGTGAGGGCGGAAGCGACTGCTGTGCACAGCAAAAAAAGCTCCGGTGGTTAGATTGTTATGTCTTCTCGTCTTAAGGATGACAGGAACGTATGCAAAACGTTTGCGACACACACTGAGGTTAGAAATTAGTGAAAATGTGAACAGGACCGAACACCTAACAGTAGCCTACTACGCCAGCGAAGTGTGGTTTTCTTCCTACCCTTGGCGACCCCAAACGTTTACAACACCCAGCAAACTCCTCCACACAACGTTTCGGGTTTCGGGAACATGTATCACTCAAACTCGAAAGTCCTTCCCATAAAGAACAGTCATACATTTGTGTTGGCTGGTCGTTAGCAGTGGAGGCTGTTCGGGTGTTCTTTTCCCTTCTGGTTCCAGGTGGCTGTTCGAGTTGGAGAGTCTCATGTTCTTTCAGCTGCAACATTATTTTCCTTCTTTCTAGCACAGCAGTAGCGGGTAGAACAGCAAAGAACACCTCGCTTGGTCACAGGTATCCGTATACAACAGTTTCGAAAACGCACACGTCTATACTCCGTGGTTGCGCTGGCTGCACGCTGGAGGAACAACAAACACGGCCGCCCGCGACAAAGGTCTGAACCGCGTAGTAAAGCGGGAAGACCATTCAAGGACTGTAGCAATCGAAGGGGTGGGACGCCGTTGTGGCTCGAAGCGCGGCTGATTGATAATGCGAGGTTACATGTCTGTCGGTCGGTCCCATTTGCCCTCTCTTCAACTCAGAACAACACCCGCCGCCTGTTTGTTGGTTTCCTCTTTTCTACTGCTGTCATCTACTCCCACGTTCCTGCCGCTGTGCTGCTGCTGCTGTTGTATGCTGCTGCTCGGGTCTTGGCTGCTTATTTTGCAATATTACACCTCCTCCCTGGCTCTCACCCTTCGTGAGGCACCGACAAAAAAACGCTGTGGTACTTAGCTAATACAGTACGGGCCCAGAGAAAAGAAACGTCAAAACCGGGTCGAGACTGCCCTTATATTTTGCGTCGAAGGACCAGCCGAAGTCGTCCATTCTCTTGGAAGGCATTTCTTATTCCTTTGGACTATCGCATCCTCCAGATTCTCTTATTTCTCATTTTCTTTAATTTCTGGCTAAGAATATGCATACAACAACACCAAACAGTCATGCAGCAGTGGGTAAAGCAGCCCCCGGAGGCGCCGAGTAGCTAAATGGCGCGGAGGCGGGGGGGGCAGCGCCAACAATCACTCTCCCCCCGAAAAAAATACGTTGTCCAGCTAGGTACGGGAGGGGTGGGAGCATGGAAGGAGCAGCAATGGAACGTTTCTTATTGGATACGCTCCCCCAGCAACCCTTGTTTCTTATGTATCGGGGGTATCGCACGATCATGTTTCTTCTTGGGACGTTTCTTATTTTGTGGCCGACATTGAGCTGTGTTTCCTAGTCCTTTTTTCTTATTTTTTGTAAAACATTATTTTCTTCACGGAATTTTTCTTAATTGCGGGCCCGCACTGTAAGCACACACGACCCGCAGCAGCACAGCATGCACAAAGTCGGAACGTTGGACCGAACATAGTACGTTGTATGAACGCAGAACAAATACCGACGATAAAATAGTTCCGCATCCAGGTCGCTGCGGACGTGAGTTCGTTTCGAAATATTTGTTCCGTTCACCACCTGTCTGTTGATTTTTATCCCCCCCGTCGTGGTGGGTGCAAGTAGTACTTGCGTGTAGTAGTATGTAGTGCGTGATGGTTTGGCTGTGTGTGCTTGCATGTATCCAGCTTTCTTTGAATTTTGAAAAAAACACACGCGCGCTGCTCCTGTCTGGATTCATTCGATCCGTCCCACCTTCACATCCATCCATCCATTTTCATGTGTACTATGTGTGCGTAATGTTGCTTAATTTGTGTGGTCTCTTTTTCTCCGGAATGTGCGACACACACCATGATGGCTACGGTCATTGCCCTACAACATACTGTTTGCATGATAAACGCGCGAATACAAAGCTCCTCCGACCGCCTGTGGCAAGGGTGTGTGTGTGCGTTTCCTGGGCGACAATATGGCTCTGATGAATTTGAAGTCGTTTGGCGGTCTGGAATCCGCCGGGGTGGGAGAGGCAGCATCAGAAAAGGCAAATGCGGAGTGTGGAAGGAGCGAACAGTGCGTACTCTACAATCTAAATCTGTGTTTGCTCTTTGCATGTTCTTGGACCATCCCCTGCCGCGGTGCTCTCTGTACCGCACTCCGGAGGGACGCCTTGAAAACGAGATAAATACAAGTTCGGTTAAACTGCTACAGTACAAATTAGCGTTCGACCTCTCATAGTGCAAGGTCTTGGCATCAAATCAATGGTTTTCGATTCTTTGCTCTATGGAGGACACCTGGATGGGGACTTCAAGACACAAAAACACTTTTTCGGTTGGGTCACAGTGTTGCAGATCGGCACCAAATCCACTCATGGTTCTGTTTCAACTCTGGAAACTACAGCCCTCTTTGATCTTTCGATCTTCAGAAGATTTGTTGATCTCGATTCGATCTGTATTTGATTCTTGCAGAGTATGTACTGCTGTGGATTTGGGATATACCCCAGGAACGGACATTAACCTTGTTAAACACAAACGGGGAAAAAGGTCAAGATTTGTGTTAGAAACCTCGGAAACGATACCGTATTACAGCTCAAAGAGGAGACAGAGAGATCGCCCGAAACTATTTTTTATCCTAATCTCGGGGCAACCACCAATAGCGTCATCAGATCGAGCGAGCGCTCCCCGACTTCCAACACTGGTCGTGGTGTCGTTCCTACCGACGACGGCCGTCTGATTCATTCGATGCCCTCACATCACGAAATAATGGTGGCTGGCTCCCTGCCGCAGGTTGTGGTTACTCGTCAGGAGCTGCGGTCATCCGCACACAAAAAAACATGACACAGACCGATCATCTTCCTGTGCTCAATCGTGTTCACCGAGAGCCAAACTACTGTACTGTACAACAGCTCCACGTCGATCTTCAACAAGACATCGAAGACAATGCGACTCGATAGACAGATTCCATGCTGCTTCATAATCATCTTGTTATTTGCTACATCTACCTCCCCATCCAACCAGCTGACACACGGCCAAATCTGTGGGGTCGCAGCACAGAAGCACCATACTGACGAGCGCCCTCACGCACCTCGGACATGTCCTGATGTGCTATATAATACAAGGGAAGATTGAGCCACATCAACATTTGGTGACACCAAACATCTATCCGCCTTCTTGATATACGACGGTCGAGCTATAGCGGAAATATAATGTCAAATTACCAAACACGGGAGGTACCTACGCGCGTCTTTTTCACCTTGATGCCATTCTCCTTCAGGTAGTACGCCACCTTTGCCAGAGAGGTAGACTTTCCAACGCCGTTTATTCCAACAAAGGCCATTGAGTACACCTTTCCTCTCGAACGCGCGGCCTTGACCTGTTGAATGCGTTCGGGCACGTTCGAAATGGGCACGCTTGAGTCAAGTCGACTGACTAGTCGCCGCCATTGGCGTGCTAGTCTCTCTACTGGCGATGATAGTCGTGGGAAACGCTTCGCGGACCGTGAGCACTGGGCAAAGTGAGTGACTTGTTCCCAAAAGCACCCCAAAACAAACCTGCATCGAATCGACCACTCCAGTACAGCATGTGCGACATGTGGATTTCACGATTCGACCGGTAGGGAATAGCACGCTACCGTACCTCGCGAAGAACGTCGGTTGACTTCTTGGGCGTGAGGACCCTGGACACCGCCTCTTTCAGAGCTGACTGAACCGCCGTCTTCACCCTGAACACACCAAGCACAAAACAAACATGGACGTCAGCACAAGGTCTGTCCGCACGCAAGTGGTCCAACACAGTTTGGTGTTTGTGACCAGGGGGAAATCGAAACAACGCACAGCAGACAAATGCACATGATAGAGCAACAAGATCATGTCCTGGAGCGCCCACCGGGTGAAAGACTTGAGTTTCTGGTCGATAAGCGTTGCTTGTACCGATGCCGTGATGTCATTTGCTACCTCCGAGGCCACATTTCGACCCATGAGCTGCTCACGCATCTTGGTCATCACTGGTTCGAGATCTCCCTCTTCGAGCACCTGTTTTTCACGACGGAATCGATCAGTGCAAAAACTACAATTTGGACGAGAGAGAAGCCGTCAAGGTTGAAAAACAAACGCCTATCATTCTTTCACTGAAAGACGTCGGTAGCCTCTTGCGAATGAAGCTCGCGAATGAAGCTCGCGAATGAAGCTCGTCACGTGCAGTACTACGCAGCGACAGGACAGTTACATACACATTGCAGGAGCTCGATCACTTTGGGCCGGTTCGAAGGCACTTTTGAGTGCAACGCGACACACTCTTGATGGCGCCCTGTGTGCAGTGTTCCATTTTCGTCCCAGAATGCCTGTTCATCCGCCGAACTCTTACCCTCAAACCACCACCACCGACTAAAAAATTCCATGTGGTCCTGGGGACTCACCTTCGTCCCAGTCAACCCGTGAAGGAACCCTCCAAGGCTTGTCTTGAGCATTGTCCCTGCCCAAGAGCCCTTGCTCTCATCCGCATTCTCTGAGGCTTGCAGGTCCAAAATATCATCCTCGTCGAGGTCAGATTCTGGCTTGTCCCACTCTGCGGTCTGCATGTAGGTATGCGTATGAGCAATGAAGCCGAGCGATTACTTTGAACAAATTGGTGGTGCGTAAAGAAACAGTGAATACGGGGTATATTGGGCACTCAAAGGTTCAAACACCTAGCAGATCCTTTCAACCCGCTTGATGAGGATCTTTGCAAAGGGTCTCCGCGCTTCCCTACAAATTGCACACGACACGCGCGGACTTCGCATGGCACGGTCAACCGTTGACTACACACCGAAACGACTTCATCCTCCCCTTTATGACCTTCGGCGACGGCTGGACAGCCCGGGCGATGACGTCACTTGTGTCACGCTGTCATCGTGACACACGTAGGACGGTCAACCGTTGCAAATGTTAAGCCCAGGACAAGAAAAACTTTCCACTCCTTGCTCCTTGGGAGTGTACAAATGTCAACATGCTTAGGTGCGATTTCACGCACGATGAGTACAACGAATTGGTGTACACGTTCAAGTGCCGCAGCGTATATACTTGCTTGTCTTCACTTCAAATCAGCGCTCACAGCACTAGTGCCGTCTCCTACAACCCGTGGTCACACAGAAGAGCCCCTCTCTACCCTCCCGTCCTGCGGCACGTTACCTTCGATTTTTAATGCGAGAAGACAGCACTCTCTTCCCTCTGTGTGCACACGAACTAGCGCTATCCACTGGGCCAGGAGCGGAAGCGAGAGAAAATTCACTTTGCAAGAAGAGCTCGCTTACGCCGGGATTTGAACCCTTGACCTGACCTCTAGGGGGTTTCGAGGATACCAACTAGACCACACCGGGGCTATGGAACGATGAAAAATCCGGGCGACTTACCTCCCCGTCTTCTGGCATATACGTAGATCGCATTTCAGCCATCAGCACCTCATCGCCTGCGTCACCCTCCTCTTTCTACTCAACCGGACGGGGGAAGGGACACATTCGATCAATTCGGGCACGAAATAGAGAAGTAGGGTGTGAGAGCATGGGTGCATTGGACTACAGCAGAATGTGGTCTTCTAGTAATGACTTGCTCGACAACTCTACGGGGGGTAGCAGGTGTTCATTGCAAGCGTGTCGGCAAGCCCCTGCTACTGCGACACTTCCCGGTGCGTGCACGGATATCCTTCAACGAATCGAACCGCTGCCAGTACATGTACCGTGGAGTCCCAGGAATGAAGCGAGCTTCAAAGCAAACAACTCTCTACCGTTTTGGTGGATGTATTGATGGATACCTTGGATCTGTCTAGCGCCTCCTTCGCCTTTTGTCCCAGCTGTTTTCCGCTTCCGCTGCCGTCGTGCCACACCGTCCCTTTCTTCTTCTCCTTCTTGCCTCCACCGGCTTGCGATGGTGTTGGCGGCGACGGCGACTGCTCGGGGGTCGGCAAAACATGGGCACGATGAAAACCACACGCGACGTGTCGACTTGGTATAGCCAAATGGCGTGCGATACGACATTTTGGGGCATGCACGCAGAGGCGTATTTCCCTCTTTACAGCAACAGTCACGTTCTTAAGGGGGGGGGCAGAACAGGAATTTTGATGTTGACAATTTTGAAAAACAAACGAAAGCGCGCCAGAAATTGCACAACAGACACACAAGACCAGTCGGAAGGCATCGCCAAAAACAGAAGTCGTTGATTCTCGCACAGGGCGGCAGTAGAAACTGCTCAAAACATACATTTCACGCGCCTACCTCCACAACTCTCCTTTGAAATCAAGATAAAACCCACACCATTCTACATTAAAGTCAAAAGAGCCACAACGGAAGGCGCTCAAATGAGGTCAGTTTTGAGGGTTAGGTTAGGCATTCTATTGTCATCAGTAGAGGACACCATGAATAGGCCGTGGCACGTTCAGGTTTGCTGTTGGAGCTGAAATATCGAAGGTCGCAGCAGCCACGACGCCGCTCGATGGTGTCCTCTACTGACGACAGTAGCATGCCTAACCTAACCCTGGCGGGAAGATTGTTTTCTTTCTTTGTAACGGATTAAAGTATGGGAAAAAGAGCCAGCGGCAAGACCCTCTTCTCTCCCCCCAATTACGGCAATCGGCCAATTAACACACAAAACTCTCCAGAAATCCTGCCTCCTCTCCGCTACAGGGATACACCACTAAATGTCCGACTTTCATCGTAATCCTTGAACAAGAATCAATCCCCACCTGACGATAACCCCCAGCCCCTCGGCCGGGCTTGCTGCCCCGCCTCCCTTTCGCTCCCGCTCTCGCCTTTAGTTGAGCCCTGGCGGCCGCCAGGTCATCGGGCTCTAATCGTCCTGGAACCGCATTTTCTGGCTGGTCACGCGATGTCGACGTGGTGCCGTCGTCTACTGCACTCGACAAGATGGAACTTGGCGCACGGGGCTTGCTGGTTGTCTTGATCGTCAGTGGCTGCCGCGTCGGATATGCAAATGGCGGAGTAACACGAGAAGAGCAGCCCAAACACCAGGTTTCGTCAGTACCTCCCGCATAAGTAGGAGTATCCTCAAAACCACAAGCGACCCCGCGACTCATACGCCAAAGCCTCGTCCATTTCCACGCGACGCACTCAAGCGCATCCCGAGAGAGACATATCGCTATGCATACCAAGTAAACACCATCACGCACCTCGAATGATTCCAGTAAACGTGCGCGTGTTCCAGCAACCCCGACCGCATCATGCAACAACCAAGACAATGAGCAAACTCGTAAGTCATCACCCACCTTTGGGGAAGAAGAGGCGCGCCTGCCCTCTGCAGCGCTTCCCCTCTCCGCCTCCTTCAAGAACAGATCGAAGTGCTCGTCGTATGCAACCGGTTCAGCTGCAGCCGCATTCTTGAGCGATGGACCATATCGCCTTACAATGTCCTGTATGATGGCGACATGGTATAATAGTAGTTGAGCTGCGTGAGGCGGAAGAAAAGCCGAAGTGATACGTACGTCTACGCGTAGGGCGGGCTGATGGTACTAAGGGGTCTAGCGACTTTTCCCAACCTGAACCCCTAACGAATTGCGAATAGAGAGAAGCACGCGCGTGACGACAGAAACGTGAAGCTATCTGTCTATCCGCATATTTCACAACAGGACCAACGGCAAGATGCTCTTGCCCGCCGAATGTTGTCCACCAGTCCCTCCACGTACTGCAATTGCAGGCTCTTCTGGTACAGCGCGACCACCACCAGCCCCAGCTCATTCGCCAGCGACCACCTTCATCAATAGGACGCCCACATAGCGTGGAGGCCATGGGGGATAGAAAAACATCAAGTGCAGAAGCGCAGCCGAGGCGAACGAACCCATGAGACACGAACAATATGAAATAGCACAAACACTGGGGTCTGTGACGATAATTGACGACGCGCGCTCGCGTGAACTTAGAGGTCTTATATGTATATCAAGATAAAAGCTTTGGCCTTTCACCACGCGGACACGGGAACCGCCTCATTACTTTCTCGCGGCGTCAACGACGAAAGTCATTCCAACTCGACTGCCGCGGGATCGATCGAGGGTCGACGCACGAGGCCGACACGCAGCGACTAGCTGTCAATCATGACCCAAACTTGAATAAATATTCCTGAACTCTCCATTGCTATCACATTGCTGACAATGTGAAGCTGTCACACAGCAGTGTGTAGTGCGGACCTACACAGCACATTTGTACCTGAATGCTCCAACATTTGCATATTTCCAGCCCACGTTTTGCTTCTTCAATGATCATTATTGCGGAGAGTACGCATGGGCAGGCCGGCTCCCATAAAACCGCGCGGAATGCATACATCAGACACACAGCCTGGCGACAAGCCATCGAATGCCGCGCACGTTTTTGAAACTGCTGCTGTACAACCACTTGCACAATTTCACGTACGACCAAACCTGTCTGTAAAGCCTCGCGGCTCCAAACTGAGTCTCGGAACATGGGTGCATCGAAACATCGGGGCAGTTACACAAGCTCATTCTTTTTGTGACGTTGTGGTTTCTTGTTCTTTCACCCCGTACATTAAAACGCCAGGATACACTTTTCAGCTGGCGTGGGTACACCGTTGCAAAAGGAGCACAGCAGTGCGTTCATACATTCAGTTTCACCGTTTTTTCCTGCCCGCTGCAGGGGTTTGATTCACTCCAATGATTTCGGAAGCCAGGATACACCTACAACACTTGAAGTTATTGATATCGTGGTGGCGCGGTGCACAGCACTTCTCCAAGCGTCCATGCATGCGTGTGTGTGTTCTACATGTAGCGCCGGTGTACGCCTTTCGGAATACATTTGAGGTATCAGCCGGGGTCACAACGGACTTTATATTTTCATGTTTTCCCACCTTGCCGCTGCGGTGCCTGTGTGTATGTGTTTGTGTGTGTTTCGTCCCACCTTGGGAGTAAACAATTCCATGCGTTTCAATACACGACAACACCAGGCTTTATTCTCCGCTTCGGACATTTTGTTACCCGCGTGACGAGCAGTGTCCTGATATGAGCAACCACATGGTGAACGTCGTAACTGGGCCCACGAATACCTAAAAACAAAACACACAAGAGCGGGAAGGAGGAACAAGGTACGGCTCCCGCAAACATTAAGGCTACGCTCGGCTCCAGCGGAGGAGACGCCATCCCTTGTGTCCCGGGGCTCCGCGATGGTGTTTTTTACTCCAACGGTTTTTGATGTTTTCTCTTGCAGGTCAATCTTGTAGACAAGAAATCCTTGCCGGTGCCCTCGTCGACTGTTGATCACTCCAGTTTCTCCCCTCTCCCGCCAAGCCGTAGGAGACCCAGACCGCTACATGTTTTTGGAGAAAACATACTCCGAGGTTGAGCAACCCCGTTGATTAAACTGTGCCCTTCACCAGGTTAGGCCTTGTAGCGCGAGATCGAGGTGCTATTTGCGATTCGACCTCATCTTCCGGCATACCGTAAGGATGCGAGTGAACGTACGGTTCAATGATATCGCACGTACCGGTGATATCTCACCCCCGGGCGATAAAACACCAATAACCAATAACCAAGTAATTTAGTCATCGCACGGGGGTGGCCATAAAAAGTCAAGAACCAATTCACAACAATAGATCGCACCCCCGTGCGTTCTCTCGCATCCTTACTGTAGATTCTGGGTGAACAAGCACATAATTTTTGCTTCAGTTGCCGACAGGTACAGCAAGCCCCGAGTAACCATACTGCTCGAAAGTGCCAGAGCCTACCGATGTGGTGTGTGAGTGGCGTTGCATGACTTCACAGCAGTAGCAGGCAACCAAAAATGATTCTAGAGGTGTTCCTGAACTGAATGTGGATGCATGCAGCAGCCAGGAATTCGACCAGACTGTGGGATCTTCTGGGTACGTTGACGCGTCTCCACTGTTCTCCACGTGTGTTTCTCCAATGGACAAAACGAACTGAACGCGAATCACGCTGGTTCGGTGGTAGACGGCGGTACGGGTGGTAGAGGTTTGAGATTGGGTAAATTGTGATTGTCGATCTACGGGGGAACACGTTGTCCCTTGTTAAAATATGCTTTCTCGATTTTCACGCCCGTTCCTTACAAGGCAAATATTGTGCAAATTCCTCACTCTACGTTTAAGTTATTGCGTTTTTATGCGAAACGCCTCTTCTTACAACGCTTCGTTTTTGTTACGAACCGGGCGTAGCCTTCAAAAAGCACACGCGCATTTCGGCAGGCAACATCGCTCATCTATTTACGGATTCGCGAGTGGTGGGGAATCCTGCGACTCCTTGGCTACGCACAAGTGGCCCATGCGGTGCATGTCGCTACCACCATCTTGATCTCCCCACAAACACCGTGCGTTCGGCCGCAACAGCCATCACGAAACCATGCCCCTGAGTGGACCTCATGCCACATGCGGAATCATGCACAACGCTCCATCCACACACGGCATGATGTGCGCGTGCGGCTCCCGGAGCGTGTGTTGTACTCTAGTTTGTGAGCGCGGGGTCTCTACAAAACTTTAACCGAGAACCACTATTACACCCTCGGAACAGCTTTAATAACCCATATCAAGGACGCGACCCGGTTAAGCGGTTTAGACCGCTTCACAGGGAACCGCTATAACCGGGAGTCCCATCTTATTTGTTCAGAGTAGATTGTTGCTTGATGGGAGAAGAAAGCGGGAAGTGATATATTCAGAGAAACTGGTCGATGGAAGGTAAAGGTTCCCATTTCCCACCAGGTCAACTGCCGAAAAGCTGGGTAATAAATCCGGGCAAGTACTTGAGAGATAGAGCGGTAGCAGGGTTTACCCCGGCTTTGTGTGGCAAAGCAGGGTGAAAGTGGGCGTCCACCAATCAGTTATTTAGGCGTATTTCCAAGCTGGTTGTTAACTTGGACGTACCCAGCGGAGCTATGTGAAGTACACTTGGAGCAAAATAGTTGATGAACGCAGGTACATGAAAAGCAGTTGTGCCGTTTAGACCAGAAGGCAGAGATCGGAGCAGTGATGTGCGACATGCACGACAGACACTATTGTAGATACCTAGGCATGGCAGGTACGTATATCGTACATGTACATATTTTGTGGGCTTCCTGTGCAACCACCCTCGCAGAGAAATTGACAAAATGCAAAAGGAATTGACAAAATGCAAGAGGGAGATACAAATATAGTGCCTTTCTCTCCTGCATCCTGTATAGAGAATACAACGCAGTTGTTACAGCAGTCCTATGCATCTTGTACGCTTCGACGTACATTACTTAGACGTGAACAAATGTAGTGTAGCAACAAACTTGCAGCAGCAGGCGGAAATACAAGTACATACACCGCTAAATATCTAAATATGGTGTAGTCTATAAAACCGTTCATTCATCATACGTGCTCTGCACCTTACCGCAGCGTATACCACTCGGTCGTAGCGACATTGGTGCCACCTCTCTCTTCGAGAAGTACGTTTTTCACGAGGTCGTCCACGGGGTCTCCCTTGAGCTTCGCCATTGTCCGGCTCCACAGTACCAACCCAGACTTGCTGAATACAGACACATGGTCCAGCATGCTTTCAGATGCAACGTAAGCACGCCCTTGCTCCTGTGAACAGCAGTGAACAGCAGTGAACACCAGTGAACACCAGTGGAGAGCGCGCAGCCGAGGAAACTTCCGAACCTAGGGGACAAAAACGACGGTTCCCCTTTTATCTCAGCAAGGCTTCTGCTGAAACCCTTCTGTCACTTTTCTGTGCAGGTGGGACGTGCGACAACGCCCACCTTCCGCCCACCCTAGACTTCACCGCACCTCGTAACTTTACTCAGAAGTACCAACAGGTGAGTTCCTTCCAGACTCGCTTCTCCGATCCCGTTAGTTTTGTTATCTTGCGGTGTGAGCGAAAATAAAAGTTGGGGCTGGGGCGAGCTTTTTTATGTGGCGGGGAGGAAGCCGGCCTTTTGAGTGCCTCTCAGCGAGCTGGACACCCAGGACTAAAGCGTTGACACAGCTAACGCATTGATGAGCCGTAAGTCTCACGGTATGGTCTATTGCAGAGCGATAGCACTGGATAGTGTGCCGCCAGTGCGTTTTGTTTTCAAATGAGTCTAGACCAGTGTTTTAGGCGCGGTTTTGTCCTCTTCGGCGAGGCCGAGAAGAGCCGTGGTCCTATCTCTTGGCCGCGGATCGGCGATGTACCCGGCCGCCGCTTTGCCTTGTAAAATAATGTGGACCCAGGAAAATGTGTTACGAGTGCATGATTCGTTGACTCCGCGGTGTTGTTTCACTGCTGTGCGTGTTGGGCTGCCTGTGTGTCTTCCACTCCTCGGTATCTTTGGAGCGCGCGAGCCTGTCTTTTTTTATTTTTCCCTCGTCCAAGCGCCAAGCGCGCGAAAATTCTGTCCTCTTCTGCCCGCTCCCCTCCGTCGCAGTAGTGTCCCCCTACCGAGGTCCCTCAAGCCGCTTTCTTCATCCTTCCTTCTTGCAACTCTAGAAAATGGAAGTGTTCGACATCAAAGGCAGCTGGAGAGGGACGGTACTCCATCCACAACCAAATCCAATCACGGCAAACTGTATTTCCCCCGTTCTCAACACGATGCAGTTTATATCGGAAACCAAAAGTTGGGGCAGATGTGCATGGTGTTTATGGATGGATGCCTTCTATGTACAACACCCTCGTATGTAGCCTTCCTCTCCCATGTGACCGCGGGTGGTGTGTCGAAACACACCGAGATGTACATATTGGGCGCCAAGGGAGGGATGACAACACATGCGGGAAAGATTTGAATGAGAAACGCCTCCGAAGTGGTGGTCCAGAAGTCCGTTCAGGACGGATACATCTGCTTCTGTATTGGTTCGTGATGAGTTAATATTAGTAGTTGTATAGTATGCTGTCGTCGGCAATCATTCGTTTTGGTACAGAGTGGGACAGGTAGGGGGTGATGTTGCTGTAGTCGAACGGTGAGACGGACGTGTAGTTCAGTTTTGGGCACGCGTACGGTGCTGCAGGGAATATATATAGGTGTAGTAGTACCTCTTCGGGCTCTTGTACACCTTTTTCTTCCTACGTGTGCGTGTTCTTTAGATCCTCAGATGGCTCTAGCACTTTCGTGACCACGGGCTGAGAGTCTTTGCTAGATTTTGGCATTTAGCAACTGGCATACGGTTTAATGTGAAGTCAACAACAACAACAACATAGCATACATCTACAGCAGTATGTTTGAATTCTACCCCGGTGATACACGGAGAGTTTCTCGCGGAACAATCTGCCGGGGTTGATCCATTAAGTATTAATGCATGCATACGACGAGTTTGCACAGTAAAGAGCAACGTCTTTGCCCCACAACAGCAGTTTCGTTCTCCAGGCACAGCGCCATGTATTGTCATGACCTGGAACGAGAAAAGTGCAGCACTGCTGTCGCGGCGTCAATCGAACATATGCTTCTGAATGACACTGCTTGTTCTTGTCTTGGTTTATCTGACGGCACGCGCTTGATCTCATCTCTGATGTGCTTCGTATCATGATCCATAACTCTTGATCCTTGCTCTTGACAGCTCTCCTCATTGATCATGTCGGCTGAAGAGCAAGTGGTAGCCCCCTCGGTGAGCGAGAACCCGGAAGTGCTCGCAGACCAACCAACGAGCATGGTGACTGACGAAGACCCCGCCAACGGTGCAACGGTGAGATGATGCGATAAACAGTATCACCTAAACCGGATAGGGAGAGGATGGGTAGTCCAAGAGGGGTTTTGGGGTGAGAATCCTTAGACGACCGCCGTGATTTGCTTGTTGTTCGCTTGTTCGGTACTTGCATTACTGCGTTATCCGCAAGTGTTTCCAATTTGCATTGTGAGCAGCGGAAGTGAACTCTCGCAGCTGCTGTTGCTGTTTGTGGGGTGTACTCGGATTTTGGACAGGCTGAAGCTGAGGCGGAAACAAACGGCACCGCCGAGACCAACGGCACGGCCGATGTAACGGCGGCTGCGGACGGTGCGCCTGCCGTCGAAGGTGAAAAGGCCAAGGAGTTGTCGCACGAAGAACAGCAGAGTGAGTGCTGCCGACTCCACGATACCGCACGCAGGCCAATACCACACCAACGCTCTCGTCCTTCAATGCCACAGTAGTCACATGTTGAGAGCTTCTCCAGGCGGACTGTAAGTTTATGCTTGTCTTGCAGGTACAGCGTTCAATCTCTCGAGATGCGGAAGGAACGATACCCACCTTCGTCGTAACCCCCACGTGGTCTCGTAGGAATGCTATCACGTTGGTTGTGGGTCAAATTGCTCACGGCTTGTTGACGTTGACGGGTGAAATGACCTTGTCTTGACTTTCAGAGGCTGATGTGGAGGGCAAGATCTTCCTGGGCGGCCTGACTTGGCAGACGACTGAAGACATGCTCAAGACGCACTTCGGGAAGTGGGGCGCTCTGAATGACGTCATCCTGATGCGCAACAAAATCACCGGAGAACCTCGCGGCTTCGGCTTCGTGCAGTTCCAAGAGTCCACATGTGGGTCTCGCCTCCTACATTTATGACACTTGAATCGAGAGCATCGCCTCTGGTCGACGCTGTGGTGTTGTACCGTCGTGTCGAGAGCAAGGCGATTTCCGCTTGTTTGTTGGTTGATCGTGAGATGTGCACTTGCGTCGGCTTCCATATGCACGCTGCTTCTCTGGCAGTGCTCTTGCTGTCCCTTGTTTATGATTCAACTTATTGCCACTTTTATCCTCGACATGGAGTAATTTGAAACCTTCTGAGTGACACGGATAGCGCGTGGAGATTGCCATTGCACAGAGTACAGGACAGCAAGCAGATTGGAGTACGACAAGGTACATCGCAGCTTCGGGTTCGACAGACATCAGTTCAGCGGTACTTGCAGGAGTATCGTACGTACTGTACTGTACACAGTAAGTGAGCACAGAGGATGGAGAAGGACGGCTGCAGCACGCAAGGCAGAGCAGACGTACTTGTTAGGACGCAAGATGTGGAGCAAGTCCGCCCGGAGACTCCCTATGGATTGTGGTGTGGTCTCGTGTACAGTACGTATTCCCGTACAATGTACAGCAACACAACGACGTCAGCAACAGCAGCCTCCAGGAATGACTGGCTTCATTCGTCGCAGAGGAAGGAGGCACTGGCGGTGCCAGGCAGTACTGGGCGGACATTTTGTTCGTCTCGATTCTTGCTTCTGCCATGTGACTGTTTTCGACTACAGCGCTGTGCATGTCGTCGTTCAGCATTCATGTTGCTGTGCGTTTGTGGTCTGTCAGACCTAAGGCCGTTACCCTCTGCTGGATGTATGTACGCATTGTACGGCAAGAAGGAAGCAGGCCGCGGCAAATGCAGCTATTGAACTTGTATTATTTTGTGTGTTGCTCGTTGCTCTTCTGTCCCCTGTCCCGTTGTCTTGTCTCCAAATTGTGCTTGTTAGCTGCGGATGCCGCCCTCAAGGAAGAACACGTGATAGATGGCAGGACCATAGACGTCAAGAGGGCTGTCCCTAGGGACAGGGCACCGCTGCCTAGGTTGGTTAGAGTCATGGGAGTCGTTTTTTCGTGTCCGTGTTTGGAAGGGCGGGTTGGGGATTTTGGGTGCAGGCCTGGTGTTTGTAGAAAGTATTGAGCTTATAGTGTAGGCGCCTGCGTTCGCTCCTCGGTCAATCATAACTTTCCCTTCGCCCTTGTCTGCCCGTCCCTACGCATGTTGGTGGATATGTTGCGTCTTGTCTGGAATGTAATGACATGGTGTGGTGCTGAACCTGTGTCGGTGGCTCCTTATCATGGCCTAGGGCCGCGGCCGACCGCAACAGTGCCAGCGCCAGAGGAGGGTCTCAGGTGGGCGGTCGCCACGGCGGCATGAATGATGCCCCTCTGACTAACAAGGTGAGAGTAACACCGTCCCCACCCCCCCCGTACGCTGCGTTGTTGCGCTGCGGTTGTGAAATATTGGATTGGATGTCTTGGCGGTTTCGGCATACCTGTATCGTGTTAGGAGTTGTTCCCTGGGAGCTGCTTGAAGATGCACGGTTTCAATTTTTTCGTTTGGTGCTGTTCGTTCGTAATTCCTCGATGTTGTGCATTCTTTCTCTCACGTTTGTCTGTTGTGTTTGCGCGTGCGATTCGTTAATCCAGATCTTCGTGGGTGGTCTTGATCAGGAGGTGAACGACGCCGACTTCCGGGGCTACTTCGCCAAGTAAGGGCAGTAACAACAGTTGACTTGGTGTACTGCTGTATTTCCATTGTCACGGTCAGCGAATTTGTGTGCCTGTTATAGTCACACTGAATATTTCCAAGAATCAAGGATCACGTGACTTGTGCTCGATCTGAGCAGCATTCTCGCACGCAGCTGGCGTGTTGCTGGCGTGTTTGGATGCATGTCAAGGTGTGTTGCAACTGCGACACTCACATTTGCACCCCGTCTTGTGAACATATTAGTATGGATGACATTACAGCATGCTGTAAACATGCTTGCGTTGGCTTCATGAGCAGGTTCGGCAAAGTAGAAGACGCGGTTGTGATGTACGACAAGAAGACGGGCAGGTCGAGGGGATTCGGATTCATCACCTACGACAGCCCTGACATCGTGCGCAAGGTATGGAAGACATGATTCTATTTTCCGAAGCAGAGTGTTTCAAAAGCGTGCATTTCGTTGTTTGGATGGTTGAGTGAGAACAGGAAAGTGAGAAGGCTCAATGGACCGCGCACGTCAGGTTGCGAGGTACAGGAGCGTAAGTTATCCCACCATTCTGCTGCAACGATGACCTCGCATACGAACTTAAGGTTATGAGCGGTGGTACGCACGAGCTGAAGGGCAAGTCGGTGGAAGTCAAGACAGCAGCCCCCCGCGACGGCCCCCGTCAATTCAACGGTGGCGGCGGCTTCAACGGTGGCGGCTACGGAGGCGGCGGAGGCTACGGTGGAGGGTACGGCGGCGGTGGTGGTGGAGGGTACGGTGGACAACAGGGCTGGTCCCAGCAGGTCCGTTTCGCACGTTTACGTTCATGCAGATGTCGCATTTCGCGTGCTCGATCCTTTCTCAATCTACAGCTTACCAGCACGTGTATCTGCTGCGCCTCATGACCCTGTGCGCCACGTCACACACAGACGTCGTGTCGTGTTTGGAAACTTTTTGAGCTTGAGTTTGTTCAAGACCTCGCGTCCAGGACATTTTTCGACGTCGGCGCTTGCTCTTGGTGTTGTACTGTATTGAAATATTCTGTTGCATTTACTTCTGCAGGGTTACGGGGGTAGCCGTGGAGGCGGGTACGGCGGCGGAGGCTACGGAGGGGGCTACGGTGGGCAGGTGCATCTCCATTGAAAGTGTAGGGTCGGTCTGCGGTATTTGTCTCAGATGGATGTTTCTAATGAAGCCCTGTTGCGACCCCCACCATAACCCTACTCACCATTCGTCGCTTTGGTCGGGGCGTTACTCTCTTGATGTATCGGTCATTCAGCAGTACATTCATCGGCAGTCTATTCACAGCAGAGGACGGTGTCTGTAGGTCGGCAAGTCGACGCTCTACGTGTATGCAGACACGTCCATGTTTGGAGCTTTCGTGTCAGATTTAAGTATGATCCATGATACTGAACCAAGGACGTTTGGTGCCCCTCACGTACATGGTATGTCGGTGCATATCATTCCGTTGTATCAGGCGCATACCGAAGCCGGCGGTCATGTCTTTTCGGTAGGCATATTTCCGACGCCTACATCAAATGCGCAGGACGTTGGGTGTCTGGCCGACTGACGGCAAATAGATCGTCCAGTTGCTCTCCTGTATTTTGACATTTTTACACATCCTGTCTTGTGACTTCCTTACACAACACACAGATCGTCTGAACTCGCACCGTGTTGACAACCTCTTGCTACTACCTGCCTGGTTCTAAATGTTGTGCATAGCACACAGTTGTCTGAATCCACGCCGTAGTCGCTGACACAACCTCTCTCCTGCAACCTGCGTGGCTTTGTGTTATTCGTTGTGCCCAGGGCGGCGGTGGCTACGGCGGTGGCTACGGAGGACAGCAGGGCTACGGCGGCTACACCCAGCAGCAGCAGCAGGGCGGCTACGGCGGCGGCTACGGCGGCGGTTACGGTCAGCAAGACCAAAGCTACGCGTCCGGTGGCTACAACCAGCAGCAGGGTTACGGCCAAGGCGCTGCCACAACCCCTCGGCAGTCCTCCCAGACAGCGTCTACCGGCTACAACCAGGGGACAACCGCTCAGCAGGGGTACGGTGCGCAGACGGGATACAGCCAGCAAGGCTACGGCCAGCAGCAGGTGAGCATCGCAACCGATTTTTATTTTTCAACTTCTGCCTCTCTCTTGCTCTTCATACCTCCCGGCTTCGTCGGATATTCTTGAGTTTTGAGTCTCTGTTTTGTAGCTGTATAATGCCCGGCTTTTTGTTCACTCCTTGGGTTCATTCACTGAACACAGGGCTACGGTACTACGGGCGGCCAGGCAGCAACCGGGTACGGAACATCGTATGCCGGAACCGACGCGTCTGGCAGCGGTGGCTATGGCACGAGTGCCGCCACTGGATACGGAACCGCGGGCGTAGACCAGGGTGGTTACGGTGCGTACAGGGGAGGAGCTACCACCCAAGGTCGCCAGGAGAGGAGCTACAGGCCGTACTAGATGTGTCATGGGTTTCGGTTGGTTAAGTATTGGTTGTTTGGAAGGTTAGGAGTGCCTGAGCGTGGTATAAAAGTTCACCTACCATCGCGGAATTACCATATCCTCGATGCTTCGAGAAATGGTGAGCTGACAACGGATAGTATCACCGTCAAAACAGATGCGGATCATGGGCTGGGGTGATGTTGGGTCGGTCAAACATGAAGAGCGCTGGGGACCTGTGTGATTTGTTTTCATCCGTTATAAGTCAGCGACTTCGACACACCCCGTCCATGCCCTTCTGCGTTTCGTTGTGTGCAACATCGGGCAATTGTCAAGCCTATTAGGTTGTCGCTTGTAATCTGTATTTGATGACCGGTTGGGTATTGTGTTGATGCTCAAAAGCCTTTCTCACTGTTCATTTGTTTGCGGGTGGTCTGGGGGAAACTTGAAGCAAAATCTGCTGCTGATGAAGGAGGTGTTGATTGTTGGTGCTGCTACGGCTTTCGGAACAAAATTGTACGATAGGGAAAATATATGTGTAGTACTTGTTCTGAGCTACATAAATCGATCGTGTCGTGGAAGCTCCGGCATACAGTTCGCCACCAGTGCGTAACATGCCCTCGTGACGGTAGTCGCCATAAATCTGTCGCCCTCTCGCTGAGGCGACGGCAGCGATGTCGTCGGTTGAGCACATTTTTCCCAGCAAATGAAGCAGCAGCAAGGACTCTGGCATAATGTTCTTTGGTGGCACCGCAGCTACACCATGGTCCCAGCCTGAGATTCAGCCGCACACGGCTTAATAGACTACCACCGCCTAGTGCAACCGCACCCTAGCAAAAGTTAAAATCTTTAGTCGTGGTTTAGCAAATCAAAAGAGTGAGTGGGCTGGGTGAGTTACAAACACGACCAGGTGCCAGTAAATGCAAACCGGGCTGCGCGGACCTCTTGCTGACATGTTTCACAGGGTTGGACTGCTCGTTTAAGGGATACCAGTCTTAACACATGCCGAATCTCATGGCGAAGGAAAGGGTTGGCAAGATTCACCATAGCCCACAACCCACGGAAAATAGTGTATGATTTGTAGGTCTGGAACGCCCACGTGTGGACAGCCTCATCGTTGGATATCCGTGCGTGGAACCTTCATCCGTATCCCCCACCCTGGCCCGACCCGGTCTAAAAAAATATCTCGGGCTACAGTGCCAAGCTCATGGCGCCTCAATGCTCGGTAGGGAATCACAAATCATGACCCCTCCACGAGTTTGAGGAGCTTGCCCTTCCTGTGGCTGACACGACTCGGCCTTGACTGTTCCTTGTCTGTATCACAATCGGAACATGGGAACGGCCGGTTGAACAGCGAAAGAGGGTCCTGCGTGCTGCCCGCCACACCTTTTGTTTTCTTCGTTTGTGATGTTCTTCCTGAGTGAATGTTGTACACCTGGTCTCCGTTGGAAGCGACGCGCTGCAAAGCTCGTTAGTAAACTTGATCGACTTCATAAGGCGCGCGGAAGGGAATGCTGTACCCTTCTCGCGATGAAAATATCTCAGGCAGGAACCGCAGGAGGGGGTCCAGCCCCCCCCTCCTATGTGACCCCGGTTGGGTCGTCTAGCTGGTAGAAGTGGAGGATAGGGGCCAGAGGAGCAGACGACAGAGTCCAATGATGGAAGAAAATAACAACAGAAGGTTGCTGCTGTTATTCTCGGAAAATGCTGCCAAGGTCGTAAGGTTGTCTCTGTCGTTTGGGCTGCACGGTGTGCTCGCGTAGGAGAGGCCTAGGAGCAGCTTGAGTTGTCTGCCAAATTGATGGAGTGTATGGGCGACGAGGATACCGACGGCCATGCAGAGGTGTAGACATCAACGAGATTGCAACTGGTTTTGTTGCATTGGATTATTTGGGGTATTGGCGTTTGCTTTCATTTCAGCACCTGTATCATGAAGGGGTCCTCTCCCCTGAGTCAATGTGGTGTTTAGAGTCATTGCATGTTGCAGATTCCAAGGGAATGACAGTTTTTATGTTTTCATTCGTCAATGAAGCGATTTGCACTTCAATCAATCGTCAATGAGCAAGGTTGACGCGTTGCGGACGATAATACACGATAATTTTGGTCACCACCAACATCTCCTACCTACGAAGAAGCCCCGCCAATGACGGACAAAAATATTGGGATAAGTTTTTTTCTGTGGAGGGACTGCAGACTAATATTTTAGGCGAGTTTTGTTATTAAATATTGTTTAGGAGAGTGTTTTGACTCTCCTAGTACTGGAAGCCCCGATGGGGACAGAACATTTTGTCGATAAATTTCGCCGGCCCAAATTGGCAACTTTTCTCGGGGTAGGGGTGTTTGTAAAAAAACACAAAAACATGGGCAAACGTCTTGTCTCAACGTGCATGTGACAAAGAGTTTTAGTTTTTCTCGTAGTGTTCTTATCATTTTTTTTGAGAAAACTGGGAAAGCTTGAAGGCTTTCTTCGCATGTTGGACCCAGCTAGACGATTTCGAAAAATGGTGCGGCAAACAATGACTCCTCTCGGGAATCCCTATAATTTTTTTTGTTTTGGCCCGAGAAGATCTCATTTCCTCGAGATATATTCAATATTCACGGACAACAACCGCGACTTGAATGCTTTCGCATGTTTGACCCAGCTTTTATAGCTGGTTTCAAAATACTCTCCTTCTCGAGATATTCCCTGTTTTTCCTATATTCATTCAAGAAATTCATTGCCTTTTTTAATTTTTCGGCTCCAAAACGACTTAAAAATGGAACAGGTCCAAATAGCTAGACCCTTATTTCTGCCGGAACCTTTTTTCCTCGCCTTGTTGTGGGGGTCAAAACGATGGCTGGAATGCCGGCCGACTCGTTTTCTTTCAAGTGTCTTGGCTAGAGGAGGAGCGACTGGACAATTTGTGGTGCACGGACCACACAGGAGGGGGTTTCAACCCTCCTAGTACTGGAAGCCCGAACGGGGACAGTTTGGGGACACCGCATTTAAATTCTGAAGATCGGTCGATATCCGTGTGTGGGTGGGTGAAACTTTCATTCGCGTCGCCCACCCCTTGTCCGACCCTGCCTCAAATGCTGATCTCGAGCTACAGTGTAACTCTCGTGGCCCCTCAAGTGTAGTTAGGTGGGGAATCGCAAACCACGACTCCTCCCCGAGTTTGAGCAGCCTCCACTTCCTGTGGCCGACATGACTCGGCTATGACTGTTCCTTTGTCTATTTTGCCATAAACACGGCCGGTTGAACAGCGAAAAAGGGTTTTGCGTGCTGCGCGGCACCGTCTTTTGTTTACTGCCTTTGTGATTATTTGACCGTTGTACACACATACATGCGGCTTCTGTATATATGTGCTGCAAAGCTCGCTAGTACGGTACATCGTCTCTTTCGCTTTGCACGCCTTGCTCATCGCGTAGGTAGCGATGCACGTCTCCAACGATTTTCTCTGGGTCGTACATGTAGTGAGCTATCAGAACGGTTGATGCCTTGCTCACGTAGTGGTGCGCATCTAACACGAACGGCAAGCGGTTTGAGGCAGTAGTTCGTCCGAAGTGCTTATTCATGTTCTTTTTTGTTTGTTGCCCCGACGCCATAGGGAGGAAAGAGGGTCGTATGCATACATACCGGTCGCCCCGGTGGTCTAGTGGGTAACCTCGCAGCCTGCTAAGGGCCAGGTCATGGGTTCGAGTCCCGGCAGTGAGTGTTTTCTCGCTAATTAAATCCTAGTCTAGGATGAAAGCGACGCGTTGCAAAGCTCGTTGTTAGTAAACCATAATCGACTTCGGCAGTCGCGAGGATAGGGATTGCTGTACCCTTCTCGCGATAATATTACTTCAGGCAGGAACCGCAGGAGGGGGTCCAGCCCGCCCCTCCTATGTGACCCCGGTTGGGTCGTCTAGCTAGTAGAAGTGGAGGATAGGGGCCAGAGGGGCAGACGACAGAGTCCAAT